ACCACCACCACCACCACCACCACCACCACCACCACCACCACCACCACCACCACCACCACCACCACCACCACCACCACCACCACCACCACCACCACCGGTTGCATTGCTCCCTTCGTTAAGATCCGAAGCAGCCGGCATCTTTGAAGGTAGTGAGCCTCATCACATTCCTTTAGATGGCCGGGTGCTCGGCTCCGTCGGCTTTGTTTGAGCTTAGCTTCTGGAGTGCTTGGCTCCGGGGATCGAGCTTTAGTCGAGTGCTAGCTTTGGTTGATCTGCTGTGGATTTGGGGCCATTTCCTTTGGATTCGGCCATTTTCAAGCTTTGTTAGTGCTCGTAGCCATGCGCACGGACGCCCCTGTGGAACGTGCAGCCATGCTGGCTCAGAGAGGATTAGGTGTCCAGCGCGGGCTAAGACGGGCCCACGTTTGAGGCCACAGAGATGCCAGCGTGTCGAACTGGTTGGGGTTGTCACTATCAAGTCTATCGGAAATTATCGGAACGTTGTATTGGAGTGCTAGACTGTGGCCGGTAGCCCTTGACGCCTCGAACGCTTAACCCCTGCTTTGGCCTATCGATGCTCTCCCGGAGGCCTGCGCCCTGCGCCGTTGAGCCGATTTCATGGGCAAAGGCCGGGTTGTTCAAGTCCGGGCTTCTTTCGGCGGTTGCTGGCCTAAGCCTTAGGCCTTAAGCCACTCGGCCGTCGTCCCGTCATTTTCTTTTAGTCTACAGTCGACAGGCCTGTAGGGACACGGTTTTCCATCTGTGTACAGATCCATAAAAGCTGCGAATACCATGCAGTCCTTGGGGTTGAGATCTTCAAGCTCCGCTGCGGGCGAAGTGGAAATTGCACGCAACACTGCAGAAAACCTGCCCCATCGGACTTTATGTCACATTCTGTCTTGCGCTCCTAGACCAGAGGTGTCTTCGTCCTGACCCCAATGTGAATTCAAATGTTAAGAAGGACTACTTAATGACGCAATGCTGGTTCTATCAGAGTTTAGCAGTCCAGCACTTGCGAAGCCCCTGTTTTCCGGCAGGTGGCAAGGGCAAAGGCAAGAAAGGCAAGGGGAAGCAGCTCCTTTATCTCGATTCAGTTCGAGTTCTCGCGTTACCAAAACAACAAACCAATGCAGTTCCTGTTGAGCTGCATCGAGGTCCTTCGAGCCCGAGGGACCCCCGGACGAAATCGAAGAGACGCTTGGCTGTTCCTTGGGAGTTTTCCGGCCTGGCCAGTCCAGCAACCTCCGCGAAGTAGCTACTAGAAGGATTTGGGGTCCGTGGCAGTGAGAGAGTCTTGAGCTTTATGGCGAAATTCCGGGGAAGCAGGGCAAAGCGAGCTTCAGATGAGTCTTGGGGCAGCTTCCGAGACTCTGGCCACTTCCTGCCTGGCCTTCCTCAGGATCGGGGAGGCCGTGCACCCGTGCGAAGACCAGCTGGTACGAATCTCGGAAGTGCCGGGGAGTCAACGATAATTTTCAGCTGGTGGGGCTGACCCGCCTGCCAGCAGAGCTTTAATGCTTCATCGAAAGAGCCAGGCTAACTAGCGGCTAGTCGGCTAATTGTTTGTCCTTGCAGACAGCACCAAAGCAGCAAGTTTGCCCAAATCTGCCGTCGCCTTGGCATCAGCTGGCACGACACCTGCGAGGTCTGCAAGTGTACAAATGAAAGAGTCCCGCATTTCAATGCGCGGCTTTTCCTCGAGAACAAGGAGGAAATTGGCAAAGTGGATGCACCCCGGCGAAGCTTAGGCAGAGAGAGGCAGAGACGGAACTCGAAACACGAAGCCGGTGCGCCTTTTGAGAGGCTAGGGCCAGGTTCGGCCTTGTGAGGTTGAGTCGCGGGATGCTAGTGGCAAGCAGATCTGCCTGTGACAACGAAGCCGCTAAAGGCGGACGGCGGACATGCATGGACGTGCGAAAGAAACAAGGAGAAAGGGAGAGAGAGAGAGAGAGAGAGAGAGAGAGAGAGAGAGAGCGATGAAATTAGGTCACATGTACGGCCTTGCCTTAGTGAACAGGTAGCACAACCAAGATTTAATGTCGCATGACTTGGCAATTGAACCCGTCAGCACTTTTGCTCTCCAAGGATGTCTTCGGACCCATCAATGCCTTTTACTTCTCCGTCAAGCTTGGGGCAACCTGGCCGCTTAACGCTCTGGACCTGTGCACAACTCCAAAGCTCCGGACCACCGCTAGTGAAAGCAGGACAGTCAAAACTGTGGCAGGGTTTCGCCGCAATTCAGGACTGCAGCATTATAGGAATATATGCTATGTCGCTTAGTTTATGCATGGCACAACGGGCTACGTAGCATCACTTACTGGGGCTGCTGCACTACCCAACTCAAAAGCTGCACTTGGAGTCTGCGGTTTCTCAGTTTTGCTAGCCTCAGTTGGACAACAAGCCCGCTGCAGGTCGCTGACTGCGAAGATAGGTCTCAGGGTAAAGTGTTGACAGAAATCTAATACTGAACCAGTTTGTCATGAGCCGGATGACTGAGCGTGATTTATGCTTTGTATGTACACATCACGCAAAGACACGTGCGGTGGCGGATAGTGCCAGCCAATGCTCAGGCTAACACGCCGGAACGTTAGCAAGCAGAATTTCGTTTACAGATGATTCTGCCCGATACTATCCAAGCTGATTGCAGTCAGTTATTGTCTCGCAAAAACAACATATGCAAATTTAAGACGTATCACGCATGTCAGTTTGCATTTGTCGCTAAGTTTAACAAGTTGGAGGCGTTTGGCATGGTACCTGCATGACCTAACCAGAGATACATCATGGCAGAAAGTAGCTCTGGAACCCGGACATGTGCCCAAAGGGTGTTTCAGCAACTCACTCAAGGAAGGCATGCAGGCCGGCTCCTTCAAGACGGGCAAGAAGTTTTACATTGACACAATGATGCTCAGCCTGAGTTGAGGGTTCGGGATGCTGTGTTTGGAGTTTGGGCCGTGAGCTGTTCCGGTTCAAGCCTGCAAGGAAGCCAGAGCAGGGCGCTTGTTCAGACATGGGATCTCAGGTCAGGGTCACTATCGAACGGTATGCTCCATGTTCCGGGTAGCCGGGTAGCTCGGACTTCGACGCGAGTTGCTTCAGGCTGCCAGGTTTCAGGAACATACAGGTCCTGACAAACCGAAACGATCGTGTGTACTTAGGGTTTATAGCGGCTACCAGGGCTTGTCGCATAATTCATAGTTTTCTGGCATAACTCCGCGCCGACACCAGCGGTGGATGTGCATGCTTAGCCTTGCCAGGCTGTAGCCGTGTCAGGAAAAGACCTTGTCTCATCTAGACAGCAGCAGAAACAGCCCGCGCATTCCTCCGTGCAAGGAAGCTTCTGCCGCTCAGCCGCTTCCTGCCGCAACCCCCCGGGGGTGGCAAGGGTGGGAAGGGCAAGGGCGGAAAAGGCAAGAAAGGCGCCACTGCTGTCGAGCCATTAGGACGCAAGGGTACAAGGATTGCCCCACCGGGCATATGACGAAATGATCGTTTGGGACTGAGCAGCTGGAATCAAGAGAGCCATCTCGTAGGGACTGGTTAAGGCAAACTTAAACTTCAGGAGTCGTCTTTGTTTCCTGCGCATGTGTGTTTCAGACATCCCAACCACTGCATGATGCAGGCGACGGAAAAGGTAAAGGTAAAGGGAAAGGTGGCTCGGCAGACCCTGCAGGGGTTGGCAGGGCAGTGCGGGACATCATGGATTCACGAGGGGATGCTCGTGGTAGGCTTCGGAATTCTGGAGCCGTTACCGTTAGTAATTAGGGTGCAAGGCAGTGCAAGATTATGCTCGAACGTTTGCTGCGACAACATGCTCACTACCAGAATGTGCTTCAATCCTCTAGATAATAGTACTGACAACATCTCGCAGACATGTGCGGGCTACTGTAATCTCCAGCTCTACGACCATCACATGTGCTGACGACACCCTGGGAACCCGGGCATGACACGGACCAGACCAGGGAAAGGCAAAGTGAAGGGCAAGAGCAAGGACAAAGGCGGCGGGGGCAGAGGCGGCGGTGGTCGAGGACGTGGCGGATGAGGACTGTCATGGTTCGTGTGGCTTCGGAGTCTCTCTTGAACGGTTCATTCCGGCTTGAAATGTGTTTCAGGCCGGACCTAAGGAACCTAGATCGACCCTTACTGACAACATTGAAACAGACTTAATCGCTGTCAGGCTCGAACCGTGACTGGTTCGGAAACCCGCATCGATGTGGTGGAAAAGCATATCTTGGTAATGATAGGGCAGCATGGTATTTCCTAATTTGCCTTGTTAGGAGACGGTTGTTTGGGTCACATTCCCGAAAGCCACGTGCTGTCGAGTCCGCCGCTGCATGTAGATGCGAAGCTATGAGCAGCCCAAGAGCCCGCGCAGTAATAGTCTCATTAGAGTCCAGAGCAAGCTTGCCACAGACCCGCGATCTCAGAGGTCAGCAGTTCCTGAGATGCCAATTGGCCTTTTCTAATCCCATTCTTTCGCGAGAGGACCGCAATTCTGTGAGCGCCTTCGCCCATTACCTGATGTTTTCACCCATCACCACTACTGAGGATACCTTCAGGTTTAGGCCGAGAAGCCGCGCAGTAAGAAGAGCCAGTGACCATTGGTGAATGACGCAGGCACCATAGGTATTGGAGAAGATTCTGGTTATTCTTTGCAGGCGGCTCGCTAAACCTGGTGAGGACCTTCAGAGTATCCTTCAAATCTATCATCCACAGCTTCGCCGTGAGTTGTGACTGGCTTGATTTTGCGACTTGGGGTTTAGGCTTATGTTGTGAACCTAAGTTTCAGGTGCTAAGGTTGGGACTTGCCGCTCGCGGTATTGCCCAAGCAAGATCACGGTATTCCATCCTTCAACGCTGCCATTCCAGTAGAGCTGTGCGAGTTACGACTTCGTGCCCCGTTCCCGCACCCGCACAACACGAACATCTCTGCTGATTCTACTGCCACTGCTGCTGCTGCTGCTGCTGCTGCCGCTGCTGCGGCTACAGCTGCTGCTGCGACCTGACGCCAGTCGACGACTTCTTCTTCTACTCCTCCGACTCCTACTCCCACTCCCGCTGCTACTCCCACTGCTACTGCTACTGCTATTGCTACTGCAACTGCTCTACTGCTACTGCTGCTACTACTGCTCCTAATCCTGCTACTGTTCCTCGACCGAACAACAACGACTACGACGACCGCGACTACAACTACAACTACAGCCACCGCCACCGCGACCATGACCCCTACGACGACGACTGGCTAAGAGAAGTGCTGCTGCTGTCACCATTGCTGGTGCCACTGCCATTGCGCCTCTACTGACGATTCTACCACTGCTGGTGCTTCTGCGGCGGCAGCCATCACGGTTCATGGCTGCTGCGGCGGCGGCGGCGGCTGCTGCTACTGCTGCTGCTGCGCTTGTGCTGGTGGCGGTAGCGACACGTCTACTCCACGCGACGGTGGGGAAGACGACTTTGCTGACTATACTAGTACTGTACTACGGTGTTGTTTGCGGCAAGGCCACGACGACGAAGACGACGATACTGCTAAGTTAGTGCTCTGTTACTCTGCTCCTGCAGGCGCTACTCCGACTGGGGATGCCGTGGTTATGACATCTAGAACCATTTCAGCACAACGTCAAAGACGACCACCCTCAGCGGTACGTGTCTTTGGTCAAGTTGAGCGGAACTGTTTAGGCTGACCACGGCGGAGTTTTCAGGTGCTTGGTGAAGCTGCTAGTGGGAGATGTCATGTCTCTTACCGTTAAAGGCTTCATTGGCCGTTCGGGATGGCAAGTGGTCCAACTGCAGACTTTTGCGATGCGCTTTGAGTTCCCTCTTGCACCTCCCACTTACAAGCAAGAGCAGCCACCGAAGCAAGGTGCGCTAGTAGCCGGAACAAGCAAGCCCCGCCATTAACAACACTGGGAGACCTGAAAGTTTTGGCTACCGGCTTACCCGTGTTGCCTTCCGCATTCAGCTGTTCGCCGCATTGCTAGTACGAGAAAAGAGATGCAAAGCACGGCGCTTTGGCGTCGGTGCTGCCTTAGTGCGAACGACGGTCTTGAAGTGGGACCGTTCAGACCGGTGCACACTTCTTGGCTCAAGAGGTTGTTTGTCATGAAACCCTCGACCCTGGACCCCCACCCAAATTCCCTACCTTCGTTTCCACGAACCCTCTTGCATGGCTCTTTTGCAGCAGAGCGGAAGTTTGGCACTTGGCACAAGTGTTTTGAGACATGGGCGAGGTGCTAATAGCTTCGCAAGTCGCGAGGAAGGGCCGCAACAAAGATATTGAAGCTTTAGGAGTCCAATTCCGACGCCTTACTGTGCCAAAGCACAGACCGCGGATGAATGGCAGGATCAGGTGGGAAGGGTGTTCGGCTGATATTCGATATTGGGCAATTTGCTGGCCAGTCTTGAAGACGTCCCCCTTACCAGAAGCCTATTCGTCTATCCGAGTCTCTCCTGTTTGTCCTTATCCTCATGCTGCAACGAGCCGAGCCCTAATCTCAAAGGTGGTGCAAGCACTGGCAGTCAACGGGAAACCTTCACAGGATCGTACTGATAGGTAGCAGTACAATGTGGCTCAGCATGCCAGAGAGCTTCTCCAGAGACCATGGGCTTGCCATCAACTCGTACTTTCCAACAGATACAGAACATGGAAGATGTGAAAGCCATATGCCGAGCATATACCGATCATACCAGTTTTCCTACGCAGTTGACTTCATCTCGCACCCTTGCCCCTGCAGTATCTTTGATTGGCTGTTGCTGAGCGTGCTGCTGGGCGCCGCAGAGGCGCATGGCCCGGACAGTACGAGGCGGCATCTGTTCTCGATTCTGCATCTTGCTCATGCCTACAGCTTTTCCTCGGTTCGTGTACAGCACTTCAACACGAACTCCTCCTCCACCTGCAAGTTTCAGACGCACGGTCTGCCGCAGCTCCTACTCATGCAGACAGTTCGGGCTGCTGTTTCTCACCGCTGTTGGGGTGTCGACCTGGGTGTCGACCTGGGGGAAAATCCAAGCGTGGATGCTGCAGGTATCTGCATTTGGACCGCACGCGTATTCACGCGGACACTTTTGGAAGCAGAAGACTCAAGGAGCCTTGCTTGACTTTCTTCTTCAGTTTTCAGGGGAATTCAGGGGATCCCTCCCGGCCTACGGGCTTGCAGCACACATGCTGCACAGGAGGCCGCATGGCAGCCTATCCGCATCCACCTGGATACGTCTGCGCTTGAAGCGCAGGTGCCCTTTTGGCTGGGAAACGCTAAAAGTAAAACCGATCCGATGAAGTTGCTGTGTACTGTAAATGACCGGGGGAATATTTCT